AAAAACAAAATCCGGCAGAGAGTGTTAAAATCGACAGCTGCAAAAGAGAAAATGCTTTTCTGATATTTCCGGGGCTTTTTGACAAATTAGCAGATATTAAACTGACCTACCGTGTCAAAATAACCTGACTCGAATTATTTATTATTATCTAATTCCTTTCACTTCATTTCTTCTCGAGCGATATAAGGCACGTTGATCGTTTGTTTCTCGAAATCACTTATTTTAAGCCAAACACGTTGCTTGCACATTCTTTTGTCGGAACAGGAAAACTGCGGCTTTCGGTTGGCCTATTTATAACCTGTACTAGATCAAATTTCTTCCTAGGGGGACTCGTGTTGGTTAAGTGACGTATAAATAGCGACGTACTATTTTGCAATTTAAATTGCTTCCTCTCTTAAATTTTTTGACAGGCAACGTGAAAGCGATCATTCATTGCGACAGAGGAGTGTTGTAATTTACCTTGGTTTGTGATGAAACACGGGAAGTTCGATCTCAATTTTCACTTTCCTATCGAAACGCCAAGACTTGTTAAATCTTTGGTTACGCCATTGTGACATTGCGACCGAAACATCAGCCTTAGGCCCTCCTTGTTGACTAAAAGTTTAAACTCTGAACGTTTGAACTTGAATCAAGCCGAGAACAGAACGGAAATTGCCATAAAGGAACGACCGTTGATTGATTGTTCTTCTATAATCAGGAAAATCTGTTCAAGGAATAATATGCTCTGGCGAAGACATAATTCGCAGTGATCTGCTGTCATCTAAAGTTCAGCATGAATCACCCATCTGATGAACCCGACGACAACCAAAATTTCCACGATGAAATCTCCTCGACTCTGAAAGGTACGTGGCTGACACAGATACTACTAAATGGTTTAATATTGGCAGCCGTGTAAGATCAGAATAATAATTTTCACCTATAATAGTGACTGATTTGTAGATTTTAACGTCGTGCAAGCGAACAGAGAATTATTAGAAATTTGCGTGCGCGGAATATGGTAAACAAACGCGTTGTTCACGTCAAATAAAAGTATTTCTTTCGGGATTAAAATGTTTTTTCTTTGCTTTGGTTGAGCCGATGAAAGAGACATCATCTTGAGCCTTCGGCAATAAATTTTCCGTACAAATCCACTTTAGTTTTCCCAAGAACTGATATAAGGTAAGAATAGTTCTTTTCATTTTAAGCGAAAACCTGAAGACAACGACAAATGAGCGGTTGAAGAAACCATGCAAAATATGTACAACAATTCTCTGTGTATATTTATTCCTCTTTGATCGTTGACAGAGGTTTCAAAAAGGAATGTTCGCCAGCTATTTTTGTTTCTATGATAAAATGGCAAAGCTTCCGAAAAAAAACCTAATTTCTCATCGTTGTTCCACAATTATTTAAAATCACACGGCAAAACAATAGAATGGCGGACGACGGAAAATTAGTTAATGGTTATATTGATTTGCTTTGGATGTTCAATCTATATACAATAGCGTGCGGCAGGATACCTCTAAAATGTAAACGAAGAAGAACGGAAATCTCACGGCTACTTCTTTGAACAGGATTTCAGACGAGTTGGACGGGTACACGAAATTCTGCAAACGCCGCACTTTTTTCATACTAAAATACATCAAGTGTTTCGATAATAACAACAGGATAATATGCCACAGTAATAGAAGTATATTACCATAACAATGAAGGAATTAAACAAGATATTTTTATATCGAGCGAACTTTCGTCCGAGGTCTGAACAAAGCAAATTTCCGTCGATTCCCCGAATTTGTCAAAGGCGCAGAACGGAAGGAAAAACATAATATAAAAGTTCAGACTGCTGTTATTTTTATTTTATTCATGTATTAGATGTTTTACCATTCATATGCAAATTAAATTTGGAGTAATCGTTTTAAAGAATAATCTAAAATGGTTTTTCAGTGGGAAACCAATGAATATGTCCTTTTTTATTTCAAATTGTGTGACTGTGTTTTCGTCCTCAGATTACACGAGAAACCGAGAATGGCGCGCGTGAAAATCAACACTTTGGTGAACAAATTTTAAATTTATTATTTCATTTCAAAGAGTTGTTAAGAGGACTCAAAGACGTTCATTCGGATAAAGGACTTTCTTTTTTAAGACTAATTTTTATTTATACCAAATATAATTTGGCGATTACTTAATCCACATGTGGTTTGTTCATTTTCATTTCTGTTAATTGGTTCTCGAAACATCTTGGTATTATTGTCAAAAATTCTTCTAAAATGCGGAATCAAAATATGTTATCGCGGTGAATTCAGGGCGTGCAACAAAAACATTCAAATTCCAGTTCAAAGTATGAAGAAGAAGTGTTTTACAGCGAGCAAAGTGAATTACATGACGAGTTCGATTGTCTCAGCGAAATCGGTCACGCACCTTCGGTGGGTGTAAATCTGTTAAGACTTTGCAAGTACTTGTGCTTGATTTTTCAAAGCCATCAATATCATAATTACCATGCAAGGCATCTGGAAGGAAATTTCAAATTGGGTGTATACATTAAATAAAGTAATGAGTGGCGATGTAATTTTTAAATATAACTAATGAGCATTACGTAGTCATTCCTTCGAAAACTATTGCGCAATCTACTTTCGAAAGCGAGTACTCTCCTTATCCATAAAGTATAATCTCTTGAGGTTAGTTAGTGCTCTTTGTGCTTGGGATTAAAAACACCATAATAGAATTGTTCCTTGATATTTTGCAATGGCATCGTTTCCGGTAATAAGAGAGGGGGCGGAGGAAGAAGAACGAGTGGGGTGCAGCCGCAGGGACGGTTGTCGCCATGTGTTAGAGACACCATTTCACCTCTTTTCAATTAACTTGTCAAAGAAACGTCAATATTTGTACTTAAATAAATTAGGGTGGGATTACTGGTGAGAAAAAATATGTATTGTAATCAGTTGATATTTGGCGCAAAGTTCATAGGGCCGTTAGATTCGTTGAACCGCCGTCGTTGATTTTGACAACGAGTTTGTGATTGTATGGAGCCCGAGCCGGGGAGGTGACCTAACGTAACAGTACTTCGTTTAGCCTTCCCTTTTGGCTAGATTCTGGGGAGGGTGTAGTAACCGAGAGTCCGGGGAAAATGGTTCCTCGTGATAACTACATGGTTACAGAAGTATACTTCGCACTGCACAAGTTTGAATTTGTAAAATGATACTTGTTCTTATTCCCCTTCTACGGGTGTTTGCACATTGTGTGCTGAGGCTCGTGTTCAACGCCTTATATTAGGTCCATAGTATTTAGAAATCTAGACAGACATTTACTTTGCACTCCCGATTCAATTCATTCATTATGTCGTTTTTTCACACAGACGTGGAGATATTTCTTAGTGACCTCGCGGAGGAATCACTTCAGTTACATCTCGAAAAACAAAGAGATGAGCTCCTTGAGAAGGTAATTCAACTGAAAAAGAAGGTCACAGAGTACAAAAACTCTCAGATGGTTACAAATGGAATCAAATCCCCGAGACCCAAAAGAAAAAGCTACCCGTTTGCGGCTGTAAAGGACAGTATGCATACGTACGCTGCGCATTTACAAAAAATAAACGTGGATGTGAAACCTAAGCACCCAGGCTCACCCGAGATAAGGCGGTCAGTGGATAAGCCTAAAATGCGCCCGCGCTCCGTGTCGTGTCCCGAAATTCGCTTCACTTTAAGTCATGCGTGGAGGACGTCCCTTCCTAAGGTTCCAGAAAACGAAGAGCTCAAAGTAGATGGAGACAAAGGATCCTTATCAGAGGAGGACTAAATGCTAGTTGCGTCAACAGGTTCATGTACAAGTTTCTTCTTCTCGAAATCCAGTCCTCTATGCATGTTGACTCAAGAAGAATGGAAATAGAATTAGCTGCGCTGAATAAAGAGAAAGGACCATTAAATCTTCCAAGAGTAAACAGTTGAAGGCAGAGCATTAGATGTTGTGTTCATTACCTGTGCCCCAGTCTTCCTCGCTGTTCGTGGAACGAACCACAACCGTACGCGAAGTGTCCTGAGATGGTCATAAATGAGTACTAATTGGATAAATTAAACCTGGGAGAGTTTGAAGCCATGGATTCACACTTATTTAAGGTCTTAGTTTCGTTACGGAAGAATAACATTTGCGCTCGAGAGCGACCAGTGAGGTCACGCAGACTGGGTCACGCGAAAAAATAACATTGTATACTGCTGACAAGTGCGAAAGTCACATAAATTAATAAAGTAATAGTGGTAATATAAAACGGAAGTTATCTTAACTTATTTGACTTCGACTTGGAGCCGATCTAATATGGAATGTGTATCTGCTTTTCTACATTTTTATTTATTTGAGAATTTTATTTGCTTGTGCACGTTGGGTAATAAACTCGCTTTCACGCCGAGTATGTGCTTACATGTCACTGGATTCTTTGAAATCTTTAATGGTTAAACGTTTCTGACCATATGGATCGGCAAAACAAGAAAATCGAACTGAAAGCTTACGCATACCCCTTTCTACTCTCCTCGCGTTTTATTCGGATTGAAAGCAGTACATCATTTGTGCGGTGTCAGGAGCCCATGGTTTATATAATTATAATAATTTATTTCTGCCTGTTCTCATTTTCAAACTTTCAAAAAAACAACAACAACTAAAATTCCGTTCTATAAGGTATCCGCGTGGAGAAATTTAATGGGGAGAGGAAGATTTCAATTTTAAGCTTTGGGATGCGTCGATTCCATCATATAAATATTAATTACTATTTCAGATAGATAATCTCTTATACGGAAGATTCTTTTCATACGCAACCGCCTAAAAGCTATTAAACTCGATCCAATTTAAAAAAGGAAAATAAATAAAAAAGAAGCAGAATCATGGTGGACAGCGAGGTATCGAAAATACGACCTCGAAGAAGAGAGGAATTATTTAAAGTGAAAATTTAGTGTGCGGACGTCAGGGAAACAGACTTCCGCATCCGTCTACTCCTAAATCGGGAACTTGGGTACTAAATGAGCCCGTGAGTATTCCGCTGAAATCGAACATGGCGGACGGACGTGATGTTTTCGCGACGTTTGTATGGATGTGATGGAAAACGTAGTTAAATACAGAATCTTTGTCAAAGATGGGGATTCTTTTGCCACAGAAAGCAAGTTGGAAACGCTGTTGGCTCATTACCAGGTTTTTCTGAGTCCATTCATCGATGATTTCATTTGGCAAGTCGAGCCTTTCTGTCTAGTGACAAAAGCCGAAAAAGGTTCGTCACTTCACAGCTAACGTTGTTGGAGCAATGCATGCTAATCTTTCCCTTTTATTATAGAACAGTAATCATTCGGGCCGATATTTTTCGGTTTGGAAAAGATGCTACCCTCACAGAGCCCCTCTACGCCCAAACTAGAGATTGCTTGTTCGTGTTCGTTTCTTTTATTATCTTGAAAAGGTTAAACTGCAGGATACCCGTCCACTTTGGTCCGCCTCACTTACATGTGTCGGGAGGCTCTGAAAATCGAGGCTTAACACAATAGACACTATTCTTATTCAATGACATGTAAATGAGTATTCGGGTATTCTGCAGTTGCTCCGTATGTAAAATAGATTTTCAAATTGAATATTACATTGAGCTCTCCCATTAGCAGAGGAAATTTGAGAGTTATAATGAGCTGAAATCTAAAGCAAGGAAAAATACATGATACAGGAGCTGAGGCTAGCTCAAAATTAAAGGGCTGAAAATTCAATAGTTCTAGTACCTTTGATTTTTTAGTAAAAGGTTTCTTTATTTCCTGACATATTTTCCCCTTATCTCCATTTAGGAGATAATCCAGCTCACCTTCATGGAAAGACAAAGTTTGGCGACAATATTGATGATGAATGGTTTATTGTATGTCTTCTCTTCAAACTTTCAAAGGCATTTCCTGAAACATGTGTAAGGTGAGAGAAGGAGTGGAGCCATGTTAGAATATTGAAAATTCTCTAAAGTAGCTTTAAAGAAATTTTGGGTATTTCTACAACATTCTGATTAGCCTCTTACTGTTTTAACCAGAATTCTTGTAGTATCTGTAACAAGCAAATTTAAATTGAAAAGAAAAAGATTTAATCTGGTTTGGCTTTCAACTAAATTTCTTCATATTAAATTAAATGAACTTGATACTTGTGTTAGGAGAACACTATGAATTTGCATGATGTTTTTTTTAGGTGATCTTCTTTAACCTTCTTGCCTTGAAATTTCAACAAGTTTAATTTCCATCTGGTTTGTACTTTCTTCTTTAGTATATCTGATAATGATGGTGAATTCCTGTTGATTGAGGCAGCTGATTTCCTACCAAGGTGGCTGACACCAGACAACAGCAAAAACAGAGTGAGTTCCAACAGTTATTACTGCAATGTGTTCTTGCAAAAACTGAAAAATGAAATTGTTCACGAGCGCAACCTGGAAGAATGTTTGGCAAGAAGATTCCTATTTGGCAAATCATGAATGACTTACTTAATTCCCACACTTCCATAAATGCAATACACTGAATGTAGTAAACTCCCTTTTGAAATATCAAATTTTCTAAATGCCCCTCTCTCTCTAATAATAATTCCTTCTTAAGAAAAATTTAGTGTGGCTATTAGTGGAACCCATGGCAATATGCATTAAAAAATTAAATAATAGTAGCCTATTTCCAAGTGAAATCATTTGAATAAATACTCAGGTGCTGGTTAATTTGTCATCAATTTTAAAAGAAGGAGAGTACACCTTAATGTCCTGACACACATTTATCTTTGTTAGATTAGAGCTGAACAATGTTTCTTGATGGTGAATTTCAGGTTTTTGTCCATGATGGCAAAGTTCACATTATTCCCCTTCCCGCCACCCCAGGAGAACTGACAATATACCCAACAGGTACCCCCATATTGCATCAGGCGCTAAAGTTAGTATTTGGGCCTCATAACACTGAAGCAGTAGCAAAGATTCAGGAAACAATCCGGCAAAGGATTGCAATGTGAGTGAACAGAGTACAGTATAGCATGTTATCCAGGAATAGTAGCAACATTTCTAGTCTCTTCATTTCATTCAAACTTTGCTGTTTTGATTCATGAGTTACAGATGTAACTGTTCAACTGCAAAGGAAAAGTTGGTTTATAAGACTTCTTGGATAAGAATAATAAGTGGTAGGCCTTGCCCCCAGCCTCTCCTTTGTACTGCTGACCACATGCTTCTCACAAAGAGTAGGGAATGTAATTCCTGGTGTTGTGGTCTGGCATTGCCATTGTTTATACAGGCCCCCATTTAAACCAGCTGAACTGAACTGGACCGGCCAGTCCAAATATCACAAATACATACATTACATGTATATGTACATATCAGAGGGCCTCTTTAATGCTGTGCAACTATCACAGACTGATGAAGGCTGAGTGATTCAGCTGAAATAAATCCACCAAAATCAATAGTTTCCAATCAAATTATTCTGCACACATGAACACATTATTTATGTTCTTGTACTCATCTTTTTCTTTTCCCTTCAGAATTTCTCAGAGCAGCTCTCATCATGCTCACTGCTATGTACCAGCAGAAGTCAAATTTGTTCTGGATCAGAAGCCATCTTTAATCAGTCCTGTTGTACAGGCATTTTATGGGCGGGATCCTGTTGACATGAAGGTTTGTTATGCTATAATTAACAATCAATATTCTAATATGCTCAATGAATGTTTTTACTCTGCTTAACCAGTGCAATTATGTCAACATTTTAATTATGTTTTGTCTGTTACAGGCTTGCAGAACAATGGATCAGTTCACACTGAAAACAAGACTTCTGTCAAGGGTATGTGGCATTCTGAGATTCTCTTTTTCAATGAGCATGAATGCCAGAGCTATGAGACGTGTGTAAAGGCCAACATTTTTCAAGAGTCAAGTGCACAAATTTGAGTTTTTCAGTCACAGGCTCTTTGGTATTACTTGATATACAATGTCCTCCTTTATTTTAGGCACAACAGGTGATATAGATTTTCAAACCATTAGAGCAATCCTTTTACCAGTTTAATGATCAAGAATTCCGTGTGATTTCAGTAGGTATTAGGAAGTACTATGAGCAACAAATTTTAATCAGTAACCACCTGAAAATACATCTACAGCTCATTCACTGTGTACTTTCTTTCCATATGAGCAACACCCAACTCACAATGTCTGGAATAACAAAGTTTATTATGTTTATTTCCAGATACGTTTTACACGATGCCTCTATGCACAGTTATCCCAACAACCTTTCAATCCTGACAAGAGGTCAGAGTGGACTCTACCGCCAGTTACTGATCCACATTACAAAGCTCATGAGTTGGGTCTGAAATTGGTAATAATACCACAATTAAGAAAAAACTGTTATTAGAAATAGTTGTAAGGCCCAATTAGAACTGACAGTTATCTCTGGTTCTGTCAGATGAAGCATCGGATGGGTAACTAGTCCATCTTAGATATCCCCCCCCCAATTTTTTTTCAGTGGTGCCCATTAATGCACCTGGCCTCAGTTGATTGAAGGATGGATAGTGTTATCCACTGGATAAATCTCTACAGGGTGGATAGTGCAATGTTTTTTTTAACTTGTATGTGCTGGATAATGATTAATCTGTTGGATAACATTATCTGCTCTTTGAAAAACTGCGCCCTGGATGTAGAAATGCTTAACCCAGTAACAATGCTTCAGACCAGAGATGAAATTAAGTCATCAGTCCAGATTTTTGTTTTGGTCATGAATTGGTGCTTTAGAAGTGTAGTGGTGAGGTGGAATTTTTAGTGTTTTGATTAATGGTAAGATTATAAAATTTTTTAGTTTTTTGTATGTAGGTGCAATGAACACAGACTCTTTTTTCTTTTCAAGGCTTGTGGATTCCAGATCTTATGTAGAAGAAGTGGAGCAAGCCAACCGGATTCAAAGGTACATGTATTTGCAACATAGCTCTAGTTTGATTCATCGCAAGGGTGCTGTGATGATAATCATCTAAACAATTTTATTCAGACCCTAGAGTATCTATCTTTGAGTAAGTCCACCAATCTGATTAAAGATAAGAAACTGTGTGAAACTACACTTTCTTCACTACGCTGCCAGTTAGTTCCACTAATGGAACTTAAGTATCAGAATTGCACATGAAGCATTGGGTATAGGCTATCATAAAAGAAGGTTTCAGTTAACCCTTTAACTCCCAGAAGTGATAAACATGAAACTTCTCCCTGTGATATCTTTACATTATCCAGCAAACAGCTTATGAGAATATTGAAACTTATCAGGTAGAAGTTGTTATCTTGATCCAACACCAAATTCTCATAACTAATTTACAAGGATATGTGTAGCAACCAGAGGGGAGAATTTACAATCAGATCTTGGGAGTTAAAGCAGCTCATCCAGCCAGACCTTATTAGGGTTTGGGTATGTGGCTACAAGTATTGTTATCAGTTCCTCCTCCTGTATGGGATGCCAGTTTCTCTGTCAGTTTACCAGTTCCCAATTATATTCCAAACTGGAGAGAAGCACTGTGAGTGTAAAGTGTTTTTTGCTCAAGAACCCACACTTAACTTTTATTTGACAATGCAGGTGATAGATGAACCCAATGGCCCAAAATGGGAGAGATTTTGTGCCTGTCTTAGTGATCAAGGTTATTTTAAGGTTAGTGTGCATGCATTCATTTGTTATGTTCTTTCATGACCTTCATACACCAGATTACAAATATTACCAGTTAAAGGGGACTATTAGAAATTTGACATTTGCAATACTCTGTTTTGTAAGACTTGTTAGGGCTGTAGTCAATGATGTCCTTCCATTTGTCTCGTGTTTACATAATAGGGAGAAATTGAAGGATCAAAATTGTATCAGGATCTTCTGAAGAAGGCTAAGAAGCAATTCAGTGAGAACTTCTCAACTCAAAACAGGTTTGTTCAGCATTCATTGCTCTGTTTCTTTCATGGGGCAGGGGTGACCATGGCTGATCCCTAGAGGCCAAAAAAAAGGACATTTAGAACTTCTTAGAAAATGATATTGATTAGAGAGTTTCTAAGTGTCCTGTTAGGTTTAATTTATCTAAAGTTAGGTCCCTTTTAACTTACTTTCATCAATCTGCTGTTGTAGTAGATGCTGAAAACCCTTTTTCCTCAAAACAATAGTCGGGTTACTTTTCACACCCTCTTAAAGCTCACTAATTTTGGTTGAACAGGTGGGATGTACCTGACTTTTGTTTGTTTTCATTTGTGGGTTTTGTAACTACAGGACAGATCCAGGACAGATTATTTTGACAATGTTGAAGGATGCTGTGATAGATGTGGAAAAGATGAAGGCGGAAGAGCTGCTCCCAGAAGACGGTAATAAGAAAAATGCCACAACTCTTTAGTTTAACCTGATTCATTACGGTTTGTGAGTGTTGCAAATACGCAACACTTTGACGACTTTGTGGTTTGCAGTCTGTGCTGATTGCTTTTAACTATCCTTTATTCTGCTCAGTATGTTTAAGGGTTTGTGGTCTTTAACCTTTTAACTCCCAAGATCTGATTGTTTATTCTCTCCTCTAGCTTTTACTCATTTTCTTGTTAATTAGTTACGAGAATTTAGTGTTAGATCAACAGAACTTCTACCTGAAAAAGTGAGTATTCTCATCACTGGTTTGCTATATAAAGTATCGATAGCATGAGGAGATGGTACATGTTAATCACTTCTGGGAGTGAAAGAGTTAAGGGAATTTTCTTACGAGGTTTGAAAATGACTGGAAAGAGTTTGACCTATCTCTTTTAATAAATTGTGTGACAAAATTCTCGAACGTGTTTGGTAAACAGACCAAGTTTTACTCTTCAAGTACAGTACACTCGCCACACTTGTAATTCTCCCATTCAGCGGCCGCTCACGTCTTGGTAAACCTGTTGAGATGGGCTGTTGTGATTACTCCGATTTTGGTCTCACGACATTCAATTGAAAAGCGCTCTACTAGGACTAACACCCCTTAGCCGTTGATTTTATCTGGGCGCTGGATGATGTATTGATCCACCAAGGAGAAGTTGCCTCAAGGAAGTAAAAACTTCGAAATGAAATTTGACAAAATAAATTGATTTATGAAACAAATCGATTTAAACCTTTTTCAATATTTGGTTTAACAGATGACAGCTGGTTGAACTTGACTGACCAAGATTTAGAGAACATGCTTTCAAAGTACCGCGATCTAAACTCAAGAAAGACTGGAAGAGACACCCACACAAACACGCCCAATCACAACGTATGTACTTCAAGTAACTTTTAGAAGTAAGAGCGCAGTTAAATCTCGTTTCTCTCCCTTTTCATTCCAAGAAATGTGGTTTGGGAGAATACATCCGCTTCTGGGGCTTTCCATAAATTAAAAGTGCCCCTCACGTCCCTGAATCGTGGAGAGAACTGCCGAAAAGATAGCATTCACCACAGATAGAGAGGGATGGAACCTCTGTAAAAATTTTAGTACTTTGATTGTGAGTCGGAGAGTAGATCCTTTAAGACTTGCAGTATCGACATTTCAAAATTCTTTTCTTAAGATGTCCTTCCGTCTTCCACTCTTCTGATTTGATTTTAGTATTTGTGGCTGCTGCCTCCTATGAAATAGGAGGCGAGGCCATCGCATGTATGTCTCAGGGATGAGTGAGTGAGTGGGTGAGTGATTGTAAGTAACAATAGAATTCCGA